AACCATTATCCCCCCCTCATCTCCCCGATCACACAGTTTGAACGAGAATTGACAGTTTTAGCCTCGCTCGCTTCTTGATCTTGTTTTGCACTGGCTTGGCTGTTTTCGCAGTCATAGCTATCGATGACTAAATAAATTTTCTGCATATTGCAGTTTGCAGCGTCTTAATTATACACATGAGTTAAAGCCATGGTTGACTTTGTCATGTGACTAAACGATCGACATGAAAAATCTTAAAATCGAAATTTCGTCAATTCTTTAGCTCGCGGTTCGAAGCCGGTCAAGGAATTAAACAGTTTTTGACTCTAGACCCGGATTCGAGAACAACTTCAAAAGTTCAAATATTTTTTGTGTTGAAAATCTGCAAGTTCACAATGCGGAGCGCATGCGTAGTTGAAAAAGTGACGATATTTGGTTTTCAGAAAAAATAGCAAAAACGTAAAAATATAAAAACTGTTCTTAAACCGTAATAAATAGCGCACTGCTAAAAGGCGGGCTTTGAACTTGTTAAGCACTTCGTCTTGTACGAGGACGTTTGTATTTTGGGAAATTGTTTGAAAACATGGATTTTGGCACCAGCATTGTTGATAAATGTTTTCTTGACTTGGTGGTTTCAGTTATGCCCTGGTATTCTATGCTGCTATTGAATTTTTTTCGGTCCCCTTTAAAAATCATCGAAGATTTCTAAAAATGTTCGGCCTTTCCACATTCAGCGTAACGAAAATCTTTTTTTATTGATCAACTTTTTGATGCAGTTGCTTCGGACCACTGATAAGCCGATCGAACAGCACTCGGAGAGTTTTACTGTCTCCAATTGCACGTCTTTTTCAAGGTAAGAAACGCCAGTTCTGCTCTGTAGAAGTCTGACTCTTGTTTTGTACTCAATTGTTGAAATTATTAAGGTTTAAAGGTAAGCAGAGAGGTCATTAGAAGTCTAGAAAATATGATATATATTTATTAGATGAAGTTTTCTGATATGAGTGAGAATGATTTGTCTTCTTCAGTAAAAATTAATATTCTACACATGAGATATCGTAGTCACGGAGATCAGTGATCAGCAGTTGTAATTAAGAAATATTATGCAAACAACAAAAATCAATGCAAGAAAGTGACTGAAATTGAAAGATGAAACCGGTAAAAGGAGGTAACGTCGATAAGGTAAAAGTAAGGGAAGTAAGAAGGGGGAAGTAAGGGCAGTAAGAAGAAAATGACAAAAAGTCGATAGAGAAAGATAAGATAATAGAAACCAAATGGTTGAGAATGAGATTCAAACACTGGGTAAAAAATTTATGAAGCGTTACTGTTAGTTGTACGGAATGCGTCGAATACTTTAATATGAATAGATTTGCATATTATGAGTCTGTCGATCGTTTAAGAGCTCCAACTGCTCTTGCTTTCAGTACGGGGTAGAGTGTCAGCAGTAGAATGGCTCACAGTTGCGATGGCTCATTATTCTTCATGGCTTTTCTCGAAATCTACCATATGTTCGTCTAGACGAGTTTAAATACCTTTTTGTCGGTGCATTGTTAATCTTCCACTACCTTTAGAATCCATTTGGCAAACAGCGCAGTTATTCAGCAGGTCGTCGTGAAGTGCATTGAATCTGACCTTATTTGCATAACGACGACGAGACGAATGCAAAAATTTTGTTTCTGTTATGTTGGGATGGGGCGAAGATTATAACTAGCATAAAACAGCTGATGTTGGAGAGAACTCTGTTCGTGATTATTATTTTTAAGCATGCGTGACAGAATTGGTCTGTGACATGCAATTTCAAGAGAGTGTTAGCGAAATACAATGGTTGAACTGCAAAACTATGATATACAAAGCGCGCACCCCATTGCGGTTCAATTCCTTACGGAAGATACAAAGAGGGAGAGAAAAAATTATTAAAGTCATTCTTTATCTTCATGTCCCGGAAAGAAATGGTTTTATTAGTCTCTTCTTCGAGTGTGAACTCTATGCAATCTATCTCCTGACCGTCAAAACCGTGTACAAAATAGAAGATAGCAGAAGACTGCTTTGCTTTCAGAAGTACAAGGATATCGTCAGTATACCTACAGTTTAAAGAAGGTATCACATCTAGAGAACAGACAGCTAAAGTGACAGATTCAAAAATTATTCATTAAACTAATCACGGCAATGATAAAGTTGATAGGTGATCACATGGCCACTCCATAAGATTTGCGATAGAAGCTGTTGTATTCAGACCAAATGTGTTTGAAATTCGTCGTAAAATCCTACAGAATTTCTTAATGAGGCAAATGTTTCATTAGTGAATCTTTGTTTCTTCAGAATTTCGTATGTTTTCGATGTTTCTCAAAAGTGTCAGTGCAACTGAAAAGTCTATAATAATAGAAATGTTGTTTAAAATACATTTACTGTCAATATAGCCATTTTGACAGTGCAGATGGCATAAGGATTAAAACGTTTGAGTTTCTGTATTAGGGCTTCAGAATGAAAAATTAGTAAACGTTTCTTGGTATGTTTTGGTCAGGCTACCGTAACATTCAAAACGTCAATTTATTGCATTATAGCATCGGATTAATATGAATTTCTAGAATGCGATTTAGCAGAAAACTGTTGTCACTTTTGATGGCATCGTCAGCTTTTCTGACCAAGATAATTATAAATGATGAACTGCAACCTCAATAGACTGTTTCTTTTTCCTCAGTGCATGTCTGTGCATTCAACTTCACTCTCTAACCATACATGTTGGAACAGAGTAACTGCAGGCACTCAAGCAGTTTTGGTCTTTGCATGAATCACTGATGGATCCGGTTAAAGGGCACAGTGTACTCATATAATACCCTTTGAAAAATTTTAGTTACTTTGCACCTTGCTATACCTTAATTTCTGTTATTTCTCAGGCAAGCTAATTGGTCAGTCGAGTGCTTTACCGGTACCGACGTTTTGGCTCGGGTCTCAGGTTTTTTTCAGGGTAAAAGCACACATTTTGGCTCCAAACTCTGCAGCCTTTGCGGGCCGCAGAACGAACATCGGAAATCAAATTTGTCACCTGTAAAGAAGGCCCTTGACACAGGAACCGAAACATTTTTCTGGTTAATCATCTGATTGACCAATTTGATGCGTTGTGCATGAAGGATCTATGATTTTATACAGTTTTCAATATGATCATCAACGCATGCACTAACGAATTGCTCTGTCTTCGAATATTTCCGCTGCCATGTACATTGGTAACTTTATATATTCAGTATGCTTATATATTATGCTGATGGTTGAATAGAACTTGTCGGCTATATCGAATAAGATGTATTATATTCACATTTACAGAAAACTCCGTGGAAGCCCTGTCGCATAATAAATCTGTTATGCGCTATCATCCCATAGCAGGGTTTTGTTCTATATTCTTCATGTTTCTTACGGCATTGCTCCAGATATGTACTTTATTACACAAATCACCAACGTTTTGAGCCATACATGGCTTGTTGCCGATTTAATTTGACGTCTAATTTGTGTACTAAATTGTATATGCGAAACAATCCCGTAAAAAACATAAAGCCACGTAATTAATCTACCGTACAGAAAAATGCTCTGTTTTAATGTTTCGTCGTCATTTTTACGTTGTGTTTTAGTAGTTTCGAAATAGATTCTATCGGTAAGAGAGTAACTTTGCTAGTGACTGTTTACTTTTTTACTTTATGCTAATCTTTGTGAAATATAAGCCTGCATTTTATGATCGCTTTTTTGACATTGCGGCATCCGAACAGAGCTATTGCTGGCGAATTCCAGTATTTAATGTTTAACCGTGAAGTCTTTATAGGAGGAACTCTGTAATTTGTTGTACCGCTTCCTTTCATTATTTATGGTGAGAGCGGTTGGTACTGTTAAGTGCTGAACTTGATCGATTGGTGCAAGTTAGCAACTAGATTAAAAGTAGTAAAGTTATTTTATGGCTAATTTGGTTATCAGTGATCAGATACGCTAAACAGTGCTGATAGTGTCGGCCATCATCCAGGTGTGCTTTATATTTAAGATAGAGTCCATAACGGTCTTCATATTCTTTGCAGCGGAGTGTTACTCATTTGTCAACCTCAGATTAACGGTGCGTTTGGAATCCGCTGCATTTCCGTGCTACTGTCAGTGAGAACTTCAGTATATGCGGCGTGAAGCGGTTTATCTGAAGATTGACCATCTTTCAAACTGATGTCTGCTCTTTCGATTAAAGATTTGTTTGG